AAGTCCATGTATGCTGCTTAGGGGGTCAGATTCATGAATCCGTATCTCACATGTGAGCTCAGGAGTTCTTAAATAACTTCCACGGTCATTTTCTCAAATTCTTCCCTGTCTATGTCCTCAGTAGTTTCAGGTTCCTGTGGCTCTCCTTTTGATTCTTCTGGCCACAATGCAGGGGCTTGTAGTTGCCCCACTCTGCTATGACTTCCAGTGACTGTCCTTATGCAGAACCAAGCATCAGAAGGACAAAGAAAGAGAAGATGAAATGGGGCTTCTCATTATCCTCCTTGGGACCACAGATTCCTTGCTTGGGGAGGAAGGACCCTCTCCTCTTGGTTTTGGGCTCCTATCAGCTCGCAGTGCCACTGCTGTCGCAGTAGCCACCGGAGGATTGCTTAGGTGCTGGAGTGCAATAAAATGAAGGAAAAGAAAAAAAGTAGGCAATTCCCCCTACTCTCTTTAAGCATTAGAAATCCTTTTTCTGCTCCATGAACAAGCCCTAGAGCTCCTCCTGGAGAACCTCCTCTGCCTTCTCTTGCCTCAGTTCCTGTTTTCAGGTTGCTGAAAGTAAAAGTTTAGTACAGATGATAGCTGAGGGAAAAAAGGTAAGCTCACCACTGATTCAGTGGTACTTTGGATTTTGGTCTTCCTCCCCAGTTCACCTGCTACTGTTTACTTTTCAGGGCCCTCAAATAATTGCTTCATACTTCCTGTTCAGGTTTATTAGTGGAAGAGATATGGTGGAATAGGCCTACTCCACCTTATCAGGAAGAGGATCCTCTTCTTAGGATTTAATTTGATCTTCTTTGTCTAACTTCCCAAGCTGGAAACATAGGTCACAGATTATGGGCCATTCTTATTTACTGTAAAAACATTTAAAGCTATAGATTTTCCTCTAAGCATCACTTTAGCTATAACATGTAAAACATTTTCTTAATTCCGCTGTGATTTCTTCTTTGATCTCTTGGAATTTACAAGTTCACTGCTTAATTTTCAAATATGAGGTTTTCCCAAATAGTTGAAATGAATTTTTTTTTTTTTTTTTTTGAGATGGAGTCTCACTCTGTCACCGAAGTTGGAGTGCAGTGGTGTGGTCTCAGCTCAGTTCAACCTCCACTTCCCGGGTTCAAGTGATTCTCCCACCTCAGCCTCCCGGGTTCAAGCAATTCTCCTGCCTCAGCCTCCTGAGTAGCTGGGACTACAGGCATGCACCACCACGCACAGCTAATTTTTGTATTTTTAGTAGAGACAGGGTTTCACTATGTTGGCCAGGCTGGTCTTGAACTCCTGAACTCATGATCTGCCTACCTCAGCCTCTCAAAGTGCTGGGATTACAGGCGTGAGCCACTAGGCCTAGCCTGGAATGTAATTCTTTAGGTGTCTTTTTTTTAAAATTGTAATGTTTTGTGTTTGTGTGTGTACGTGTACAATATACATAAAATTAGCCATGTTAAGTGTACAATTTGGAGGCATTTAAGTACATTCACATTTTTGTGCAACCAGCACCACCATCCATCTCCAGAACTTTTTCATCTTTCCTATTGAAAACTCTATTCCCATTAAACAGTTGCATCCCATTCCCCACTTCCTCCAATCCCTAGTAACCTTTAGTTTGCTTTCTGCCTCTATGATTTCGACTACTCTAGATACCTCATATAAGTGGATTCATGTAATATTTGTCCTTTTGTGACTGGCTTATTTCATTTAGCATACTGTCTTCAAGGTTCATCCTTGAAGTGGATTCACCATTTCATTGCCAGTCTTTTTATACCTAAACTAACTTTCTCATTCGTGTTTATTTTTTGTTCGAATTGAATATTTAAATAATAGTTCAGATATGGTTTAGGAGTACCGTTATTATTGAGTCTTTCATATTTAAGAGTATGTTTTGCTTTTCTCTACACATGTATGGAGTGCTGACCATGTGGAGTTCTTGAGTCATATCAGTCTTCCCTCAGTTCTGGCAGGCATCCTCTTAGGCCAGTTTTTAAAATCTGTCAGTAATCTGTTTTCTTTCATAAACATCAACTCCTCAGAACTAACTTTTAAGTCTAAATTCCATGAAGATATACTGAATCCTATTAAGTTTTCTGTAGTACAAAAGGATGTTTGAGCTTAAAATGCTTAGTATTTTCCAGAATAGCAAAATACTAGAAAATATTAAAATATTAAAACTGTTAAAAAGAACAAAATACTTCCTTTGGTACTATTTAACCAAAACCTATATACTATTCTAAGCCCTTTATAAATGTCAACTAACTTTTGTGCTTATATCAACACTATGAGATAGGTACCACTTAACAAATTTGGACACGAGAGCACAGAGAGGTTAAGAAACCTACCTAAGGTCACACAGCTAATAGTGGTGGAGCTCCGGAGTTCATTTCGAGTTCATTAACGCCGAAGTCCAAAGTCTCATCTTAGTGTTATCATAACCACTGTGCCCTACTGCTTCTCTTTTTAGTTAATAATGACAAAGACAAAAAAAAACAAAAACAAAAACAAACAAAAAAAAAACAGGCCAGGTGCGGTGGCTCATGCCTATAATCCCAGCGCTTTGGGAGGCCAAGGCGGATGGATCACCTGAGGTCAGGAGTTCGAGACCAGCCTGGCCAACATGGTGAAACCCCATCTCTACTAAAAAGACAAAATTAGCCAGGCATGGTGGTGCATGCCTGTGGTCCCTGTAATCCCAGCTACTCAGGAGACTGAGGCAGGAGAATTGCCTGAACCTGAGATGTGGAGGTTGCAGTCAGCCTTGATTGCACCACTGTGCTCCAGCCTGGGCGACAAGAGCGAAACTCCATCTCAAAAAAAAAAAAAAAAAAAAAGCAGATATCCAGTTACCAGAATCCAGATCAAGAAACAGAACATTGCTTGCTTTGTGTGCATCTCCTTATTTACATACTCTTACCTCTATCCATGATGTAACCATTATTCTGACTTTTGTGATACTTCCTTTCCCTCTCTTTATAGTATTGCCATTTGTCATTGAATCTCTAAACAATATGTTTAGTTTTGGTCTGTTTTAAAACTTTATCTATATTGAATGTTACTACACACACACACACACATACACACACACACACACGTACTTATATGCCTTTGCTTATTTATATTGATATGTGTAGCTTTAGTTTATTAATGTTCACTGTTGTCAATTATTCCATTATATAAACACTTGACAATTTTGTTATCCATTTTTTGACAAGAGGCATTTGTGTTGTTTCCAATTTTTACTGTTACACACAATGCTGTGTAAAGAATCATGAATTCTCATACTGTTGCAAGGTAGAGCTACCTAAGTGTAGGTACCTAGTAGTGGACTTGCTAAATCAGCCAGTGTGCTTGTTCTAGGTTGCACTAAACTATTTTTCAAATGCTTGAATCAAATTGCATTTCCACCAGCAAGATATAGAAGTTTCCATTATTGAATCTTTCCAAAAGCTATCAGTTTGAATTTTAACATTTTGTTATTTGGGTGGATGTGGTCATGGTATCTTGTTGCAGCTTTAATCTGCTTTCCACTGGTTACTGTTGAGATTGGGCATCTTTACTTATGTTTACAGACCATTCAGGCTTCTTTTTCTTAAGTGCTCATTCCAGTCTTTTGCCCATTTTTCCTAGTGGCCTTGGTGTTTCATAAACATTATTTTCCAAGTTTCCATTCTAGTTTTTTGTGGGTTATGTGTTGCAAATATCTTCTTTCAGTAGGTAGTTTCTATTTTTTTAGCTTTTATTTTCAGAGATAGGGTCTTGCTGTGTCTCCCAGGCTAGAGTGCAGTGGCACTATCATGGCTCACTGCAGACTTGAACTCCTGGGCTCAAGCAATCCTCATACCGCAGCCTCCGAGTAGCTGAGACTACAGATGTGTACCACCATGACCTGCTAATTTTTTAATTATTTGTAGAGATGGGCTTTTACTGTGTTGCCCTGGGTGATCCAGAATTCCTGGTCTCAAGAAATCTTCACACATCAACCTCCTAAAGTGCTGGGATTACAGGCATGAGCCACTGCACTCAGTTTTTTATCTTTACAATGTTTTTTGATGACTAGAAGCACTTAATTATTCTCCCAACGTTTTTTTCTTTCTTTTGGTCTTTATACTTCTTTTTTTGTCTCACACTCCTGTTTTTATTATTTTTAAAATTTATTTCTTGAACCTCTACATAGTTTCCAAACTTAGTATTTTCTGTGTATAATTTATCTTTGAATAGAAGCAGTTCTGTCTGAACTTTGTATCTGTCTAATAGTGTGAATGGATTCTCCTTTGCTTGTTATGTTGTTTAATAACATCTTAAATGTTCCCAAAGGACTTGAGTTGACTGGCTGACCCCCATGCAGAGGTGGGGCAACAGGCAACTGCAAACTCACACATCACCTGCTGGTATTTTCATACTCAGTTTGACAGGTCCTCTGTTTGGGGTTACTTGGTGGTATGTGTTCTGGAGGTGGAGGCTGCTTGACTTCCCACTTTTTCTCTTTTCATGTAAGCAGGTCAGGTCAGAAGAAAGAGTCCTGGTAAATGCATATTTCTTGCTTCACAGGAAAGCCTGTACCCATAAGCCTTTGGTTTATTTTTTCAGTATTTATCTCTACTCTGTTGACTTTGATCAGCAATCAGAAAGCTGATTCTCAGGTTGCAGTTCCAGTCCTCTAGCCCTTATTTTGTCTGGGTTAAGAAATAGGATCTGAGAAAACAGTAGTCTGAGTAGCCACAAAGTCCTTTTCCAGCCTCCTCTCAGACAGTGGATATTTAGGAAATGGTAGGATCCTTTAGGACTGTCTTATCCCCATTAATAAATTACAGCCTGCTTAAAGTTTAAGGGGAAGAAACGTCTAGATTGTCATCCTCCCTTAAGAGTTTAAGTTTCATGTATGTTCTGGTACTTTATGTTCCAGAGGAGTGTATTCCCAAAGGGTAGTTTACATACTGTATTAGTCTGTTCTCACATTGCTATAAAAAATACCTGAGACTAGGTTATTTATTTATTTATTTAGAGATGGAGTTTCACTCTTGTCGCCCATGCTGGAGTGCAATCTCAGCTCACTGCAACCTCTGCCTCCTGGGTTCAAGTGATTCTCCTGCCTCATCCTCCTTTTAGCTGGGAATACAGGTGCACACCACCTTGCCCGGCTAATTTTTTTTTTTGTATTTTTTTTAGTAGGGATGGGATTTCGCCATGTTGGCCAGGCTGGTCTCGAACTGACCTCAGGTAATCCACCCATCTCAGCCTCCCAAAGAGCTGGGATTACAGGTGTGAGCCACCATGCCCAGCCAAGACTGGGTAATTTGTAAGAAAAGAGGTTTAATTAGCTTATGGTTCTACAGGCTGTACAGGAAGCAATAGTGCCAGCATCTCCTTCTGGGGAAGCCTCAGGAGGCTTACAATCATAGTGGAGGGCAAAAGGGGAGCAGACACATCAAATGGCAAAACCAGGAGCAAGAGAGAGTGGCAGGGGGAGGTGCTACATACTTTTAAATGGCCAGATCTCATGAAAACTCATGCATGATTGGGAGGACAGTACCAAGAGGGATTGTGCTAAACTATTCATTAGAAACTGCTCCCATGAGCCAATCACCTCCTGCCAGGCCCCACCTCCAACACTGGGGATTATATTCCAATATGAGATTTGGGTGGGGACATACATCCAAATGATATCATTTCACCTCTGGCCCCTTCCAAATCTTATATCTTTCTCACATTTCAAAATACAATCTTGCCTTTCCAATAATCCCTAAAGTCTTAACTTGTTTCAGCATTAACTCAAAAGTCCAAAGTCTCATCTTAGACAACGCAAGTCCCTTCTACCTATTAGCCTATAAAATAAAAAACAAGTTAGTTACCTCTAAGATATACTGGGGGTATAGGCATTGGGTAAACTCTCCTGTTCTAAAAGGGAGAAATCTGCCAAAAGAAAGGGGTTGTAGGCCCCATGAAAGTCCAAAAACTATCAGAGCAGTCATTAAATCTTAAAACTTCAAAATTATTTTCTTTGACTCTGTATCTCATATCCAGGGCACTCTGCTGCAAGGGGTGGATTCCCAAGGCCTTGGGCAGATCTACCCCCATGGCTTTGCAGGGTTCAGTCCTGGCAGTGCTCTCATGGGTTGTAGTTGAATGTCTCTGGCTTTTCCACATGCAGGGTGCAAGCTGCCAGTGAATCTTACATTCTGGAGTCTGGAGGGCATTGGCCCTCTTCTCACAGGTCCACTAGGCAGTGCCTCAGTGGGGATTCTGCATGGGGCTCCAACTCCACATTTCTCCTCTGCACTGCCCTATTATAGGTTCTCTGTGTGGCTTCTGCCCCTGCAGCAGGATTCTACCTGGACACTTAGGCTTTTCTGTACATCCTTTGGAATCTAGATGGAGGTTCCCAAGCCTTAACTCTTGTATCGTGTATACCCACAGGCTTTAACACCATATCAAAACTGCCAAGGCTTACATCTTGCACCCTCTGAAATAGCAGTTTGAGCTGTAACCTGGCCCTTTTCAGCCCTTGCTGGATCTGGAGTGGCTGGAATGCAGACAGCAGTGTCTCAAGGCTGTGCTGGGCAGCTGGGCCCTGGGCCTGTCCTAGGAAACCATTCATTCCTCCTAGGCTTCTGAGGGAGGGGCTACTGTGAAGGTCTCCGAAATGCCTTTGAGGCCTTTTCCCCATTGTCTTGACTTATTAGCACTTGGCTCCTTTTTACTTATGCAAATTTCTACAGCCTGCTTGAATTCCTTCCCTGAAAATTGCCTTTTCTTTTCTACCACATGGCCAGGCTGCAAATTTTCCAAACTTATTCCCTTTTAAATGTCAGTTCCGGCCGGGCGCAGTGGCTCAAGCCTGTAATCCCAGCACTTTGGGAGGCCGAGGTGGGTGGATCACGAGGTCAAGAGATCGAGACCATCCTGGTCAACATGGTGAAACCCCGTCTCTACTAAAAAAAAAATACAAAAAATTAGCTGGGCATGGTGGTGTGTGCCTGTAATCCCAGCTACTCAGGAGGCTGAGGCAGGAGAATTGCCTGAACCCAGGAGGTGGAGGTTGCGGTGAGCCGAGATCGTGCCATTGCACTCCAGCCTGGGTAACATGAGTGAAACTCCGTCTCAAAAAAAATGTCAGTTCCAGTTTTAAGTCATTCCTTTGTTCTCACATCTGAGCATAGGGTGTTAGAAGCAGCCAACCCATCTCTTGCGTGCTTTGCTGCTTAGAATTTTTGTCCACCAGACACCCTAAATCACCACTCTCAAAGTTCAAAGTTCCACAGATCTCTAGGGCAGGGGCACAATGCAGCCAAGTTCTTTAATAAGGCATAGGTAAAGTGCCCTTAGCTCCAATTCCCGGTAAGTTCCTCATTTCCATCTGAGACCTTAACCGAGACCTCACTGTCCATATCACTATCAGCATTTTGGTCACAAACATTTAGCCAGTCTCTAAGATGTTCCAAACTGTCCCTTGTCTTCCTATCTTCCTCTGAGTCTTCCAAACTCTTACAACCTCTGTCTGTTACCCAGTTATTCCAAAGTCACCTCCACATTTTCAGGTATCTTTATAGAAATTCCCCACTTCCCGGGACCAATTTTCTGTATTAGTCAATTCTCATGTTGCTATAAGGAAATACCTCAGACTGGGTAACTTATAAGAAAAGAGGTTTAATTGGCTCACAGTTCCTACACAAGAAGCATAGTCCCCGCATTTGTTTCTGGGGAGGCCTAAAGAGGCTTACAATCATGGCAGTAGATGAGGGGGGAACAGGCACATCAAATGGCATAAGCAAGAGCAAGAAAGAGTGAGGATGGAGGTGTTACACATTTGTAAACAACCAGATCTCACAGGAACTCACTTACGACAGGGAAGACAGTACCAAGGGAGATAGTGCTAAACCATTCATAAGAAACCACTCTCATGATCCAATCGCCTCCCATAAGGCCCCACTTCCAACACTAGGGATTTAATTTCAGTATGAAATGTGGGTGGAGACACACATCCAAACTATACCATATACATTATCTTATTTACTTCCTATCATTTTTTTTTTAACAGAGTGTCACTCTGTCGCCCAGGCTAGAGTGCAGTGCCACTCTCTCAGCTCACTGCAACCTCTGCCTCCTGGGTTCAAGTCATCTTCCCACCTCAGCCTCCCAAGTAGCTAACACTACAAGCACCCACCACCATGCCCAGCAAATTTTTATATTTTTAGCAGAGATGGGGTTCTACCATGTTGGCCAGGCTGGTCTTGAACTCCTGACCTCAAGTGATCTGCCTGCCTTGGCCTCCCAAAATGCTGGGATTATGGGCATAAGCCACCATGCCCAGCCCTGACCATATTTCTTAATCCTCATTTTATATCTGTGAGACTAGGACCCAGTGAGACAAGTAACTAGTTAAGATGGTGTTAAGGCAGGATGTGAATCCATGTTTGTCTGACTTTGGGTCAGCAATTTTTACACTGTGTCACACTGTAATGTTTTAGGAAGATTAATTAGGTGTAGAATTCTAGGTGGCCTTGTAGGAGAGAAGAAACTGCCGGTAGGAATACTAGGTACAGTGTGCAGAGTTTCCTGATCTGCCTCTCCCAATCCCAGCTCTTCTGCATATCTTCCCTTAGTTCCACCTTCATTATGTAGCCTACTCCAGTGGTCAGTGCCTTCACTGTCCATTCCCCCTAAATAGGCTCACTGTTTTCTCTGCTTACCCAGTACATCTTCCATCCCCTGCTTTCAGTTCCCCTATTTTCTATGGACCAGTTCACTGTTCCTTCTCTCCCTTCCTATTTTTCTACCTAATTTGGGGTACATCTTTGAAAGCTCTCAAATGTGCTCAAGTTATTTTAGTTTGATAGTTTAATTCTCATTCCCACCTTATACAGTTTCCAGTCTCTCAGCATAGAAACCAATGTGCATTTGAATTTTTGTTTTTTTTTTCAGACTGGGAGACAAGATTTGAAACCAAAGAGCCAACTCCAAAGCCCAACATTACTGAAGATTTATGCCACGGGGTAATAATGGAAAGGGAAGGTATCTGGCATTCTACTGTAGGAGAAACCTGGGAACCTGATAATTGGTTAGAGGGACAACAGGATAGTCATCTGAGCCAAGTGGCAGTTACCCATAAGGAAACCTTCACTGAGAAGAGAGTATGTGGAGGTAATGAATTTGAAAGATGTTCCAGTAAGGGTTCAATCCTTGATACACAACAAAGCATTCCTACGGTTAAAAGGCTCCATAATTGTAATTCACATGGAGAAGATGCCAAACAAAATTCGGAGTTAATTAAAACTCAAAGAATGTTTGTAGGAAAGAAAGTCTATGAATGTAATGAGTGCAGCAAAACCTTCAGCCAGAGCTCATCCCTTCTTAAGCACCAGAGGATTCATACTGGAGAGAAACCCTATAAGTGTAATGTATGTGGGAAACACTTCATTGATCGCTCCTCCCTTACTGTTCATCAAAGAATTCATACAGGAGAGAAACCCTATAAATGTAATGAATGTGGAAAAGCCTTTAGTCAGAGCATGAATCTTACTGTCCATCAGCGAACTCACACTGGAGAGAAACCCTATCGGTGTAAAGAGTGTGGCAAAGCCTTCCGTAAGAATTCATCTCTTATTCAGCATGAAAGGATTCATACTGGAGAGAAACCCTACAAATGTAATGAGTGTGGGAAAGCTTTTACCCAAAGCATGAATTTGACAGTCCATCAGAGAACTCATACAGGAGAAAAACCCTATGAATGTAATGAATGTGGAAAAGCCTTCAGTCAAAGCATGCATCTTATTGTACATCAGAGAAGCCATACTGGAGAAAAACCCTATGAGTGTAGTCAATGTGGAAAAGCCTTTAGTAAGAGCTCAACTCTTACCCTACACCAGCGAAACCACACTGGAGAAAAACCCTACAAATGTAACAAATGCGGGAAATCCTTTAGCCAAAGTACGTACCTTATAGAACATCAGAGACTTCATTCTGGAGTAAAACCTTTTGAGTGTAATCAGTGTGGAAAAGCTTTCAGTAAGAATTCATCTCTTACTCAACATCGGAGAATTCACACTGGAGAGAAACCTTATGAGTGTATGGTATGTGGAAAACATTTCACTGGAAGATCATCCCTTACCGTGCATCAGGTTATTCACACTGGAGAGAAACCTTATGAGTGCAATGAATGTGGAAAGGCTTTCAGCCAGAGTGCTTACCTTATTGAACATCAAAGAATTCATACTGGTGAGAAACCCTATGAATGTGATCAGTGTGGAAAAGCCTTCATTAAGAATTCATCCCTTACAGTGCATCAGAGAACTCATACAGGAGAGAAACCCTATCAGTGTAATGAATGTGGAAAAGCCTTCAGCCGGAGTACAAACCTTACACGACATCAAAGAACTCATACATGAGGAATGTTTTCACTGGCCTCTACATCATGATTAACTCTTGAATAATAAGCATGTAAGACATACAATGTAGAAACCTAATAAATGTAATTACTGTAGGAATCTTTCAGTTGAAATATAACATACCATATCAGATAATACAGAGCACTGCAGAGAAATCATCTAAAAGTAAAGAAGTCTTGATTCAGAAAGTATAACTTATTTTAATATCAGAAGTTTTAAGTAGCTAATATAAGCAGTAAAGACTCATGCTGAAGATGGGTTGCTATATCATACTGCAGATTCTTTGGCCATCAAAGACTTCATACTGGAAAGAAAAATGAGTGTTTAACTGGACAGCCCAGAGACCTGGGATGTAGTCCTAATCTGCCACTGTCTTAGACAAATCACCTACTTCCACCAGGTGATGGTTCTTTATTTGGTATATGAATGATGTTGGAGATAGAAGTCTTGTAGGATCTCTGTTAGCTCTAAAATGCTACAAACCTATAAATATAATGAATGCTGGGAAATCTTTTTTCTTTTATGATTTCAAGCTGTCTAGATGCTCCTGTTCCACAGTCTGGTTTCCTTGGATGTTTTAGTCAAAATTCCTTTACAAATTCCTGGCACCCTTCCATGTTCCTAGTCTTTCTCTGCACTGTTCTTTTGTCCCTTAACTACAGGCTGGTTTCCATTAATTAATGAAATAAGTATGCACATCTTAGTGCAATAGCATGCTGTTTAGAGTTCTCAATTAATAGTTATTAAACTGTTGTTAAATGATCACTTAGAAAATAACATAGTCCTATAATTACAAAAGAATCACATACATATCTTTGTGTCATATTTTGGCTATCAACATGGAAAGGAAAAGACAGAGGGACTGAACACGAATAGACGTAGCCATCTGACCTATTAACAAAATGTTGAGGCTACGCATTGCGGCTCATGCCTGTAATCCCAGCACTTTGGGAGGCTGAGGCAGGATGATTGCTTGAGTTCCGGAGTTGAAGACCAGCCTGGGCAACATAGCGAGACCTTGTCTCTACAAAAATATTTTGTAAATATTAACCAGGCATGGTGACACATATCTGTAGTACCAGCTACCGGGAGGCTGAGGTGAGAGAACAGCTTGAACCCAGGAGCTTGAGGCTGCAGTGAGCAGTGATTGTACCACTGCACTCCAGTCTGGGCAACAGAACAAGACAGTGTCTCAAAACAAACAAACAAACAAAAACCAAAAACACTGCAACTCAAAAACATATTCAGAATGGGGGATTTTATAAATCTATAGTTATTACGGTAGTTAAGATAGTTTTGTTTATTTCACACACTTTACCAAGTCCTAAATATGTGTTAGACATGATTAGAAAATCAAAATGAGTAAAATACATTATTTGGTTCATAAGGGTTAAACTAAGAAAGTGGCGGTATAAGGCTGGGTGCGGTGGTTCATGCCTGTAATCCCAGCACTTTGGGAGGCCAAGGTGAGTGGATCACAAGGTCAAGAGATTGAGACCATCTTGGCCAACATGGTGAAACCCTGTTTGTACTAAAAATGCAAAAATTAGCTGAGCATGGTGGTGCTTGCCTGTAGTCCCAGCTACTTAGGAGGCTGAGGCAGGAGAATCACTTGAACCTTGGAGGTGGAGGCTGCAGTGAGCCAAGTGCAGCCACTGCACTCCAGCCTGGTGACAGAGTGAGACTGTGTCTCAAAAAAAAAAAAAAAAAAAAAAAAGAAAGAAAGAAAGAGGCAGTTGGCTATATGATGGAAGAGGAGAGGGAAGAATATAAGCAATAACAAAGCAGAATCTAGGAAATTTGGTAACTGACTAAATGTGCCAATTGAATGAGAAGGAGAAATCTAGGATTAGTTGGATTTCTTATTTTGGTACATAAAGTTGCTACAGTTAAAAACATAGCTGCCCAATTTGAACATTTCCATGAGTCTGGAACATCCAAGAAGGGAAGAGTCCTGGTAGGCAGCAGAGTAAATGATAAAGGAGATAGTGGGAGGACTGTCATTGATGCGGTAGCTGATGAAAAGAGGAATTAATAGAAGCTAAGTAGAATAAACAGCCAAAAGAAAATAGAAAAGTCAGAAGTTGGTGCCACAAAAGTAAAAAGATGCTTTAACACGGGGATAGGAATAGTTAATACTGTCAAATGCTATGGAGGGTGAAGTAAAATAAAAATAGAATTATGTGCTTTTGTTTTAGCTATCAATTTAAGATGGCTTAAAATCTCTTTTAGTAGGTTGAAGAGTGAGTTAAATGTTAAAAAGAACTTAGCAGCCTTACTGAAGTAGGAGAGACTCAGAAAGATAACTAGAGGGAGGCAGGGGCTTGGAGCATATCAGAAGAGCTGTGGGCTACAATGGAAAGCCCAGTACACAATGGTGTAAGCAAATAGATGGGGTGGCTGTCACTGGCTCACATGTAAAACAATTCAGTGTCTTGAGTTTAATGGGGTTTCCATCATGGTTACATCATGATGGCCATAGCATCAAATAAAGTATCTGCATTCAAGGCAGGAGGGAAGGAGGGGGAGCACCTCCCTGATCAACATCAGTGCCTTTGATCAGGAGAGTTTTTCCCAGAAGCCACTCAGTAGACTCCTGCTTACATCTTATTGACCACAGCTATATTGTATGGCCACCCCTAGCACAAGGAAGGCTGGGGAAAGAAGTATTTAACCCTGCCAGCCTCTATAGACGAGGCAGGTACAAAAAAGGTGGGGTTGAGGATGGTGTTGATTTAGCCAGCCAACATCTGCCAGGAAGTGTTTGTATGATTTAAGGTAGGATTGAGCGTGTTCATAACTAAGAAGAGGTGTGGAAGAGTGAAGGTACAGAAAGGAGGGAACATGCAGCTCAAAGTGGGAAAATAGGATCTGGAACACGGGTAGAGGCTGTAGGGATCTCTTTCAACAGGAGGAAGGAAACTTTCTACTGGGAGAGATGAGAATCCAAAAACGATGGGTACAGAAGATGTCTGTAGATGGCAATGGAGGAAGTTTCTGTGAACTCTTAACTGTTTGAACCTTCAGCAATCCAGTGTCTCTGGACTATGTGACCTCTTAGGGTTAATATTTTACCAATTTTGAGACATTGCATCCATCCTAGGCTTCAAAACCCTTCATTTCTCCCTTTCTCTCTTGTCCTGTGCTTGCCTTTTGAGCCTTTATTTTGCTGCTGTCTTTATCATTTCCATCAATTTCTACCCATTTCTTTTGTCTGCCTCCTTTCTTCCCCTCTAGCTCTCTCTCTTGAGATGATGTGGGGAACAAGAAAAAAAAATCTGAAGGGAAAGGAGGAGATTGTGTAGAAGAGAGAGATTATTAAAAATCTAAGTTCCTGAGGATAAGGCTAGTTTGATGTTTTATTCCCCCTTCTTTTCCTTTTCTAACTCCAGTGGTTTGTATTTGAGTATAGGCAAGGAGACCCAGGATCTGCATGCTGAGTTGAGAATTATATGGAAGGAGGTGGGGGCAGGAGAGTGGAGAAGCTTAGTGTCAATGATTTGCCCCATCCTCTTCAAGCCTCCAGACTTAGGGGAAGGGTGCTGTTTATTTGTGAAACAATAATAATCTGGACCAAATGGGTTTCTTTCGTGGAATTTTAAAATTAGGACAGAGCCACTTGGATGTTAGAAGATGAAAGCACCAGATATGAGAGCTGATGCTGACATCTTGGGTCATGTGCAAATATTGTAAGCAAAGGAATCCAACCAACTGGGAGGAGGACTAGGAGTATATGGGTCTAGGAGAGAGGACCTTTGTTACCATATCCTGAGTTAAACCCAAGCCCTTCAGTGTCCATTCTCGGGTAGAACTTAAGTTTCAGTAATATTGAGGATTTGCTGGTAATTAAAGCAGTATAGCCAGAGTTTGCAGCAACTTAGAATCACCAGCAACCAAGGACATGTGTATGCTCTCGCCCTGTCTCTGTTCCCCCACCCCTCACCACTGCTACCACCCCCACATGGGCTCTGTTACTGCTTTGTCCATCCCCTCACTGGTGGTTGGATTCCTTGGCTTACAATTAAATTTGCACATTACCCAAGATGTCAGCATTAGCTCTCATATCTAGTGACCTTTCACCTTCTTTCTAACACCCAAGTGTCTCTGTCCTAATTGTAAAATTCCATGAAAGAAACCCATTGGTCCAGATCATCCGTTTAAGACAAGCCTCACAAGTCACCTTTTCTGGCTAAGTATCCATCCAGTCAGTTGGTGGGAGGAGGAATGCTACGTGATCACTGTCCATGCAGACAGGCCTGTGTGCAGCAAACTATGACAGATATGACCAGTATGTCATGAGATATTTACAGAGCACCTACTCAATAGTTGCTGGTGATTTAGAGCTCAGGAGTTCACAAGGAGCTCATGGTAGGGAAATCTGAAATAAACCAGGAGTTAGGATGCACTAGGGTGACTCTGAAGGTGGTTAAGAAATACAGCACCCTCTGGAACTATAGAGAATTGGGTGAACAAGGTATTTTCTCTACGGCTGGGTCAGCATTCAAAAGACTCAAATAGGGCCATTACCTCCACTTGAGCTCTGCAAAATGGGCCTCTGGGCATTTAAAGAGGTTACCAATCAGGGTTCTCTGACTAATAGAGGTGGAGCTGCAGAATATGGTGCCAGTACCCCCTCCTAGAGAGTGCATAGCTTTGAACTGCCTCTGGCTCCTGAAAAAATATCACAACAGATCTCGAGGAGAAGGGCCTCTGAAAAATTTATGAATGCTTAGAACTTAATTGAGGTAGGTTACTTTCCTGCCTATATACACATTGGCATTATCTGATTCCTGCCTGTGGTCAAGAGACTTATAAGTGATTGGCCTGTGCTGGATGTTATTGTGACAAGGATGAGTAAGACCTTGTACCTACTTAGTGTAGTTTATTCATGCAACTAACATTTATTGAGCCCCTAGCATAAGTCAGCTTCTATGAATTCCAGGGTAAATGACGCCTGATCTCTGCTGTCAAGTAGTTCCTAGCATATAGTGCTATGGGAATGAACTAGCTGGGTGAATAGAAGATGGGGAGGAAATGAAAACGTGTAGGAAGAATAAGAATAATGGCAAGAGAGGCTAAGAGACCATAGTATACAGGAAATTCTCAGAGGTGTATGACTTGAGCACGGAGTGGTAGTCAAGAAGCAGGAAGAAATGAGGTTAAAGAAAGATCTTATTACATCATGCTGCAATGGTCCCAACAGGGCTCAGCAAATGAATACCAGGAATTACTAGCAAGTAGCCACTGTCCTGGGGAAGAGTAAACAGACTAGTGATGCAGGGCTTGGTCAAATGTAAGTGTTCATTTGCATATACATAGTTAATAGAACAGAAGGGAAAGGGATTCTCCAGACCACATTTTAACCTCCTTTCTCTGAGGAGACTGGATCCTAATGAGAATCCTTGACAGAAGCGGGGGCTTCCTCGTTCAATGCTCAGAACAATATAGTGGGTGAGTTCTGGCTGAAGCCAAAGGGTGTGTCAGGCTTTGTGTTAGAGGCTTCACTGCTTCTTTTCATCTTGAATAGTTTTGTGTGTGTTTTTTTTTTTAGTTGCTTGTGGAAGGGCACCTGTTAGATACGCCTAATAAACTACAGCATCTCCAGGACAAATGGGTCAGATAAATGAAGGTTTCATTACTTTTTTCAGTTCTGGAAGACTTGGGCCTTTGTATGTCAGTTCTTTGCCATCCAGGTGACAAATAATAAGAGCACTTTTGAACCTTTCCTCCATCAACAGAAGGACTCCTGGTTCCAAGGACATGGGTCTTTGAGCAAGGCACTTAATAGATCACTGTCTTGGTTTTCTCATTTATTAATAGGGCAAACCTCACTTTTTGGTTTCATTAAATAATGTAAAGTGCTTATAAAAGTGCCCAACATGTAGTTAGTGCTCAATACATATTATCATTCTCACATTCCTCAAACAATAATATTCAAACTCAGCATGGCACCCAGAACCCTTCATTATCTTAGAATCATTAGGGTCTCAAAGCAATTGCCTTGTAGAAAAGTTATATAATTGTGGGAGGCTACTTGTAATTGTGGACAGCTGTCATTGCCTCCTCAATGGTTTCCCTGTATCCCCTCTAACCCCATCACTATCTGCCCTCCTTGAAGCTGACCAATGATTCTATCGAAATGTGCCATGTCACTCTTTCGAATCTAATAATTTCCAGGCACACAGAATAAATCCAAATTTCCTTCAAGGCCTTTAGTTACCCCTGCAACAGCATCTCCCACTCTTCCTTGTTCACTAGGCCCTTGCCAGTCATACGGACCTTGCTGAGCCTGGAGTTCACCAAGACACTTCTCTCTGGACAGCATTTCTGTTCCCTCCCTTTAGAAGGCAGGTTACCCATACATTCACTTCTTTTCTTCCCTCACTGTATTCAAATCTCTGCTCAGATGTTACCTCCTCAAAGGTAACTTCCAAAAATGCTATTTGAAATCACTCCCCGCCCCATCGCACCCTAACCCCTAACAGTAGTGTTATCAATACCTGATAAATATTTTCTACTTGTTTGACACTTCCTCTAGTACAATTAAAACTCCATGCATGCAGGGTTTTCACAGCTATTTCTCCAGCCCTTCGGCTTGGGTTCTCACTCTCTAGGGCCCAGTTTGAGGGACCTGGAGTCACAGGTGGGACAGAAGTGGTGTTTGTATGCCTAAGGGCTTGGGAGGGGAGAGAGAAGGGTTACCAGTGATATTCACAAACCATCCTCCCCCTCCCCCGCCGCTTTGCCAGGTCCCCCGGAACTGCCATAGAGGCTGCGCAGCGGCTGCCCCTGGCCTTATCGAACACTTGACACAAAGTGTCTATAGAATGAAATCTTCAATAAAACTCCAAACAGAATGCTGTAGTCAGTGACACTGCTTCCTAAAAGGGGGCCAACAATTCCATATGTGACAAACCTCAGGTCACATGCTTGATTCTTTCTTCACCAACAAAGTCAAAACCCTCTCATCTTTCTTTCCTGAGCTCCATGCAAATTACCTATTCAAAAGCAACTAAGTATCTCCAGTTAGATATTCTTAGGCATCATCTCATCCTCGCCAGTCTCAACAAAAATAAATACCACCTTCCAAATACCACCCAGCTGTCCAGGATGGAGACTTCCTGGCATCCAGGCTCCTTCCTTTCCCTCGTCCGCACCTCTGAAAGACCCCAAGCACGAAGTGTTCTGCCTCCCGAAAATTGCAGGGGGCCGTCAGCTGGGTTCCAGCCACCATGGGCTCTGCCCTGAGGCGCTGCGCAGGACATCCCTGCCCGACAACTTCGTCCTCCCCGCACCGTACACTAGTTAACGGCTGTGGCGTCTCCACCCCAGCACGCACTGGCCCGCCAGCGGGTCCAGGCTGGATTCCAGTGTCGGGCGCTTGTCCGGCCCAGGCGCAATCCTGCTGCCTTCCAGGCCTCGGCGCGGTCCCCGTCAGGAACGCGCCCAGTCGCCTCCTATTCGGTCTTCCAGACCTTCCCGATCCTCTCTCGTCAGTGATCGGGCGTCACTCCCCTGGACTAACCTCCCTTGTCCCATCGTCAGCTTTTCGCTGGTCTGCTTCTTCCTGGGCCTTACTGCAAGACACAGACATAGTTCTAAAGCGAACAGAACTGAACCGATTCTGTACGTGGTAAGCGCGCAGGCGGCGACGCGGAGGGGCCTCTGGGAAAGGTAGTTTCCGCGCCCAAAGCGCCGGGGGCGGGGCCCTGTTCGCGCAGGCGCAAAGCAGCACTGTCTCCGCGGATTCTCCCTGCGGAAGTGGAGTCTGGAAGGCCGAGCTGCCGCAGCTCTGAGACTTGTGGGAATTCGGCCCAACGGTTCCCAGGGCAACGCGCAAGCGCAGTTCAGTTTCCAGCTGCAGCCTCCAGTTCATTGTGTTTTGACTGCGATGTGGCGCTTGCGATCTCTCGCCGCTGGCAGAGGCTCCTGGAAGAGCGACACGGGAGTGACCAGGCACGGTGGTCAAAGACGCAGAGGGAGAGCGGTAGTGGTCCTGAGGTGGTCTGGGGAGAAGGGCGGAGGGAAAGCCGAGGAGGTGCGGGTCGTGGTCCATTCTGGAGGACGCTGATCGAATGCCCCAAACTTCCTGGAATGTATGTCTGAGATTTGATCCCAAACAGACAGAGGGAGGACAGCCAGGGGTGGTCATCCTGGGGTTAGGGTCGAGTCTGTGAGTGCCTGTGGAGGAGATGGGGCCAGGGTCTCTGGCATGTGTCTTGGAGCGGACTCCGAGAAGCCCAAGAATTCCGCTCAGGTGATAGATACAGCCTGGCGTGGTTCCGAGTCCTGCGCCAGGAACTTGCCAAGGCCGGAGGCAGCCGCTGCGCGGCCCCTGCAGCAGCCCCGGGGGGACCTGGTGAAGCGGCAAGGGCGGGAGGGAGTTGCGTGAATAGGGTTCCTACCCTTCCCTGTCCTCACCCCGGCAAGGCACACAAACGCAGCTTCTGCCCACCTGTGACTCCAGGCCACCCAAACGGTGCCCCAGAGAGTGAGAACCCTGAGGCCAGAGAAGGGCTTGCCTAAAAGGCTTCGACAGTGAAGAGCCAGCCTTCTTAGCCTCCTTTTTGAGGAGAAAGACGACTACCCTCTTTTTCCTATTCTCCCATCACTCCCAGATTAGGCAGCTGTTCCAAAGCTGCAGAGGGAGAGGGAGAGGGAGAGCGGAAGCCATCTTCCAGTCCAATCCAACTCAGACATCGCCCTCAGTTGCCTCTCCCCAGCACCCCCACCTTTTCGGGTACATGCTGGTGAGTTCTGGAGCTGAATAACTTGTTAAAGAGACAATTCTCGGCCGGGCGCCGTGGCTCACGCCTGTAATCTCAGCACTTTGGGAAGCTGAGGAAGACGAAACACCTGAAGTCAGGAGTTCGAGACCATCCTGGCCAACATGGTGAAATCCCAGTCTCTTCTAAAAATACAAAAATTAGATGGGTGTGGTGGCAGGAGCCTGTAATCCCTGCTGCTTGGAAGACTGGGGCAGGAGAATCGCTTGAACCCAGGAGGCAGAGGTTGCAGTGATCCGAGATCGTGCCACTGCACTCCAGCCCCTGGGTGACAGAGTGAGACTCTGTTTAAAAAAAGAAAAAACAAACAAACAACAACAACAACAAAAAACTATCTTGAGATTGCTCAGTGAGGCTGAAGGGAAAGACCAGAGGGTGGGTGGAAGGTGTGAGAACTGGGCCTGGAGCAGGCTTTCTGCAAGAAGTCAAGGTATAGCATCCTCTGAATCAGGAGAGAGAATGGGGAGCAAACAGGGAGCAAAGAACTCACTGTTTGGGGTACTGGAGGCCTCCCAGGATGTGAATGCCCACTGCCTTGCTCTGGACTGCTATATGAGAGCTTTTGACCCAGTCCTCTCTTAATTGCAGATGTGTAGACCCTTCTAGCCTGAGGAGTCCTAAGGGTGCAAAACTCCACACCTGCCTCCATAGCACTTTGCCTGTCCCTAAGAGGGCTCATCAGAGAAGAAAGAATGGCTGTCAGCCACCTGCCAACCATGGTCCAGGTGAGTCGGGGTTTCTTCCCCCTAAATTGCTTTCTGGATATGAAGAGTGTGGCATGTTTCCTTCCTCAGACCAGGAGCTTTTCTCCCAATCCAGTCCCACCCAGACACTGACCTCAGTTGCTTCTCCCCAACCAACCCCCCACCCGTATCTGGCTCATCCTGGTGGATGTTGGAGATGTGTCATTTGCTAAAGGTCACATAAATGTCACAACTGGGACTGGAATGCAAGTTCCTATGAAATCAAAACCTGTACTCTTTTCATTAGCAAGTAAGGTTAGCGATCTGAAGTGGTAAAGGCATGTATTAGTCCTTTTTCGCATTGCTCTAAAGAAATATCTGATCCTCGGTAATTGATAAGGAAAGAAGTTTAATTGACCCACGGTTCTATAGGCTGTGCATGATATCAGCCTCATCTACTTCTGATGAGGCCTTAAAAAGCTTCTGATCATGGCAGTAGGTGAAGGGGGATGCAGGCACATCACACGGTGAGAGAGGGAGCAAGAGAAAGAAGTAGAAGATCCTAGACTCTTAAACAACTGGATCTCAGGTGAACCAACTGAGTGAGAATTCACTCATTACCAAGAGGATGGCACTAAGCCATTCATGAGGGATCTACCCCCATGATCCAACACCTCCCACCAGGTCCCACCTCCAACATTGGAGGTCACATTTCAACAAGAGATTTGGAGGGGACACACATCCAAACCATATCAGGGTGGTACCCCACATAGAGCTCAGAGAAGGGCAGAGCGGGAACACTTTTTTGGGGAGGTGGGATTTACTAGACTTTTTTTTTTTTTTAATGACACTTGCCTTTTTTTAACCAATGAAATAATTGAAAAGACTATGCTTCCAAAAAGTTCAATGAATTCCTAAAATGCTTTGAGCAGGCCTAGCATCTTTAGAATAAGAGTATGGACTGTGCTTTGAAGGAAACAGTATTCATTTGGGCATATACATTCTGATACATTTGGTAAAATTGTTCTAATTGCTTCACATTTAAACCTCCCCAAGGACTGAAATGTGTGGCAGGAATCAATGGAAAGGATGACCAGCTAGGTGAGAGTGCCGTGTTCAACATAGCCCAGCTCACCGGCTGCTCCCCTCCTCCTCTTGGCTTCTGACTTGTCACTTAGGACCCATCTCATGCACCAGGTTTTCTGTGAAACCTGTCTCCACCCACGGTTCCAGTCTGCTGTGATATTTTCCTTCCCTAGCCTTTTCCTCAAAGTCATTGTCGGTGTCACACAATTTATCTCATGTTTAGAGGCTGCCTTAATTTGGTTGGCATTTAACAGACATATGTTAGGGTTGTAAAATGTGCCAGGAATTATGATCTGGGCTAGAAATACAAAGTGAATGATAAATAGTCCCTGACAAATTGGTTCATGGCTTCAATTCAAGTGTTTCTTGACTGCCTGCCATGTACCAAGGCTTTGGATGCAGGTAGCAGAAACCTAATTCAGACTGACTTAGGCAGAAGCAGCACTTACTGGAAAGATATGGAGGTGTTTACCCAAATGCAAAGGCAAAGACACAGCTGGATGTTGGCTATGGAAGTGGGGTCTAGAATAACCTGAGAGTCCTTTCTCATTGACCTTTGGTTTCTTCTCTGGGCTTCTGCTTACCTCTTCTTTCTCAGTGAACACTGGCTCCCTTAGCTTCTCAGCCAGGTGGGAAGACCAGAGCTGTAATAGTTACTGGATTTTACATACTAGGTTAGGTTTCAGGTACACCTGTGTGTCAGGACAGAGAGACTTTCCTCTGTGACCCCCTCTCAGAGTTTCTAAGGGACTAGTTTTAATCAGAAGGAACAAGGTCCTGTTGTGTAGAATGACTGGTTCCACGGGACCCATGAGTGTATGCACATGTGCCCAGGGGTGCGTGTGTGTGTTGAGGGTGTGTGTCACAGGGTGTGTGTGGGGGGGGCGTATTTGTGTGTGTGTGTGTTTGGGTGCGTGTGTGCTTGCATATGCATGTTGAGGGTGTGTGGGGGGGATGTGCAGGGGTGTGTCTTTGTGAGTTTGTGTGTATGTGTCTCTGTGTTTGTTATTTCTGTGTGTGTATATGTGTGGGTATGGGTATGGGTGTGTGTGTTTGTGTATATGTGCATGTGCACATGTGTGGTGTGTGTGTTTGTGTTTGCGTGTTTGTGGGTGTATGGATATGGGTGTGTGTGTGTGTGTGCTTGTGTGTGTGTTTCTGTATGTGAGGGGTGTCAATAGGGTATGTGTGTGCTTGTGTGTGTGTCTGTGTGTGGGGTGTGGGCATGGGTGTATGTAGGGGTATGTGTGTAGGTATATGTGTGTGTGTTTCTGGGGAGTGGGTATGGGTGTGTGTTTTTGTGTAGGTATATGTGTGTGTTTAGGTGTGTGTGTAGGTATATGTGTGTGTGTGTCTCTGTGTGTGGGGTGGGTATGGGTGTGTGTGTTTGTGTGTAGGTGTATGTGTGTGTGTCTCTGGGGGAGTGAGTTTGGGTGTGTGTGTGTAGGTGTATGTGTGTAGGTGTATGTGTGTGTGTCTGTGGGGGGTGGGTATGGGTTGTGTGTTTGTGTGCAGGTGTATATGGGTGTGTGTCTCTTGGGGGGGTGTGGTTGTGTGTGTGTGTGTGTGTGTGTGTAAGTGGAGGGGTATGGGTATGTATGCTTGTGTGTGTGCTTGTGTGTGTCTGTGTGGGGTGTGGGTATGGGTGTGTGTTGTGTGTGTGTGTAGGTATATATGTGTGCATAGGTGTGTATGTAGGTGTGTGAGTGTATGGAAGGTGGGAAGGTACACCCTGAAAAAAAGCAGGAGTGGCTGAGCAGCCACAGATAGGTGCCAAGTGCATGGGTCATGTGCCAGATGTGGGGAAGGCCAAGAGATGTAGAGACAGGCAGTCCACATCCTGGAGTTAACAGTCTAGTGGGGGAAACTGAAAGTAAACCAAACATCACAATAAAATTGGACAGTGCCTTGATGGCCCTCATAGGCGACTGTGGGAACTGTCAGGGAAGGCTGCGCTCAGCAGGTGGTGTCTATGCTGAGACCTGAGTAGGATCTGGTCTGCTGGGGTGAGAGGAGAGGCAGGGCTGGGCGGTTTGAGGGTGATAGAAAAAATGTTCTAGGCTAGGCCAGGCACAGTGGCTCATGCCTGTAATCTCAGCACTTTGGAAGTTTGAGGTGGGTGATCACGAGGTCAGGAGTTCAAGGCCAGCCTGGCCAACATAGTGAAACCCCGTCTCTACCAAAACTACAAAAATTAGCCAGGCATGATGGTGCACAACTGTACTCAGGAGGTTGAGGCAGGAGAATCACTTGAACCTGGGAGATGGAGGTTGCAGTGAGCCGAGACGTTGCCACTGCATTCCAGCCTGGGTGACAGAGTGAGACTCCATCTTGACCAAAAAAAAAAAGAAAAAGAAAAAGAAAATGTTCTAGGCTAAATGAATGGCAAGTTGGAAGTCTCAGTGTTGAGGAAGCCTATCTTCACCACCATATGTGTTTCTTTAGAGTGGGTAGCAATGTCTAGTCCAAGGCTCAGCCCCTAGGAGACCCTGAAGGGGGCTTAACTGGCTGCAGAACACCAGCTCCCTGTGTGCCAGCAGTCCTGTAAATCTCCAGAAGCTTCTAGGGGCTGCCAGTCTCTTTTCCAGATAACCATGTGCAGGGGTTGCCCCTGGTCAAGGAGAATGAATTTGTTGTTACAGGAATCGGTGACCTTCAAGGATGTGGCTGTGCTCTTCACTCAGGAAGAGTGGGGGCAGCTGAGCCCAGCCCAGAGGGCCTTGTACAGGGACGTGATGCTGGAGAACTACAGCAACTTGGTCTCACTGGGTAAGTGGGACCCCTGCAAGGTTTCTCTTCACTTTCAGGGATCTCCTCAGGACTCTTATATTGACACCATATAGAAGGTTCGGTTGGACCAATTGAGGATGCTGTCTTCAAGAGTGTTATTAATACTTGCCTGTCCTTAGTGTCCTGGGCACAGGCCTCTTTTGGAGTCCTCTCAGATGCCTCAAAAGTGACTAGGGGTCAAATGCTTCCTTTCTGGCAGAGAGAGGAATGTGTGAACAGGTTGTTTTAGGCTTGAGTCATCTTTTCCTTCTACTGGGAATGCACCTGGCCCTGGGCTTTCCTATCAAGTCCCCTTTTCCAGGAAGTTCTGAGGGCCAGCCTTTGTCTTTGCAATGATTTTTATCTCTTGTATAAACAGATGTGGTTCATTTTTGTCTCCCCTCAAAAACAGGGCTCTTAGGACCCAAACCAGATATATTTTCCCAGCTGGAAAAAAGGGAAGAGTGGATGCCAGAGGACCCCTCTGGAGGCTTCTGTCTTGGTAAGAATCATGTGTGTGGGAGACAGGGAGGAGCCCTGCTGGGTAGGGAAGGCAGGGAGGCTTGCAAATGCACAAGCCTGTGGATTGAGAAAGCGCCTCTTTCACCTTTGTTCACCTTCATACCTTGTTGCTTCATTTGTCCTGGCCTGCACTGCCAATATGTAGTAGGCCCGGACCCTTCCCGCAGTGATTTTTCTTCTCTCCCTGTTTGGCATAGAGTCTGTGGTCTAGAAAAGACTCAACTTCATCTGGGCAGTTCTCCCCACACCCCTGTGCATGCGTGTCCTGTTCAGCATCTGACAGTGCAGTCTCTGCCTGCCCTTCTCTCATGAGGAGCCTCAGCATGGCAGCTTTTGGTCTTAAGAGCCAGTTACCATGTGTCTACTAGGCATCTCCTCTAGTAAACATTGCACATTTCCTCAACTACCTCCATATGTGTTTGGCCACGCAGATTATCTTCTACATTTTGCCAGCTATTGTCTTAGACTGCAAGTGCCATGGAGACCAGCTTTATTGCATATTTTGCTGTATTGCTCACACCTAGCACAGTGCCTGGCACCTAGTAAGTGGCACAGACTTGTTGCCTGGGGATACAAAAGACATGGCAGTTTGGTGACTGTTACTTGTCTTGAGGAGCTCATTGTATCTGGTGGCTTAAGGGCAGTGGTGTGTTTTCCCCCAATTAACCCCCAGTATTCTAGAGCGCTTAGTGCCTTACCCAAGTACTGTAGTGTTTCACTTTCAGCTAGCATTTTGTAGGCTGTCAAGTATTTTTACAAACCTTTTGTTATAGATTTTTCACAGTGACCCAGTGTAGTAGGCAGGAATTTATATCCTACAATAAATAACTGTGTACCTGGAATATCTAAGACCCAATCTGTTATGGAAATTCAGTATCTTTTTATTTTTATTTTTTGAGATGGAGTCTCACTCTATCGCCTAGACTATTGTGCAGTGGCGCAATCTCAGCTCACTGCAACCTCTACCTCCTGGGTTCGAGTGATTCTCCTGCCTTAACTTCCCCAGTAGCTGGGACTACAGGTGTGCACCACCATGCCTGGCTAATTTTTGTGTTTTTAGTAGAGACAGGGTTTCACCATGTTGGCCAGGCTGGCCTCGAACTCCTGACCTCGAGTGGTCCACCCGCCTTGGCCTCCCGGAGTGCTGGGATTACAGGCGTGAGCCATCTCGCCCAGCCGGAAATTAAATATCTCAACTCTAAAACTCAGTTGTCAACAAAAATGTTTAATATATTCAATAGCATTCTGAATAATCCATGAATTTGTATGTTCCATTATCAAACTAAGGCATTTTAAATATTTTATTCTGTGTTATACAAAGAGTCTTATAACAAAAATGGAGGAAATTAAAAGAAATTCATTCATACTTCTACCACCTTGGCATAACTTTTTCTACTTAAATCATACTATCATCCATTCATTCATGATTCATGAAGTCTAATTCTTCATTGCACCCTTGATAGAGGAGTATGGAGATGAAGAGGACTTTTTTGCCTACAGAGATTTCATAGTCATGTGTAGGTGATGACGTGAAAGTACAGCGAGCTGCAGTTCACTGCATCCAGGCCCCTCCCTGCATTCTGTTACTGCAGGCCTGATTTCTGAGTTGCCTGGTGATGGAGCACTGGGGCTGGTTTGTGAAGGATGATTAGCAGTTAGCCAGTCTGATATCAAAGAAGACTTAATTTATGTCTCAAGAAAGTTTTATAGCTTGTCCATTTCCTATTAAAGTTTTTTTTTTTTTTTTTTTTTTTTTTTTTTTTTT